TGTCAGAACTCTGTTATGATACAGAACCTCCAAAATACCCATGAAATCTGTAGTTAGGTAAGAAAATCTTGGCTTTTCTTTTTCATTTCTTTTTTTTTTTTATTTTTAACATGTACCCACTGAAGGCAAGAGCTAAGATATTAGCTTCTTTTATAATACCAAGTGAATTTTGGCTCAGATTATTTCTTGCCCTTATCCCCTTCAACCTCAGATTTCTCCTTTTATTCATATCTGAGCCCTACTGGACAAATGGAAAAAGAGTAATAGAGGAAAAAAATCCTTCAATATGCATTTTCTTTTTTCTATATGTTTAATTATTCAAGTACTATTTACCAGAAAGAGCAAAAAGAAAGTAAAATCTAAATTTCTAAATCTGTAAATTGAACATGTATCCTAAGCTACTACTTACCAATGTCAGCTCTCATGATTTAGAAGCCACTTGGAAGTAGTTGTTTTAATTTATCAATTCAAATAATCCCTTACAGTAACTTTGCAGTTCATCCAGAAATCATCTTCCGGAAGCCAGTCCTTAAACTGAAAACTATGAAGGAAGAGGCAGGGAAAGGTCCCTGCACCTGCCACAGCCAAATGGTGACGACACAGCCTTGAAGATGAGGAGTGTGTGCTGGGTGGGATGGCCAGTGGCTGCAGTTACAAGGGAGTGTCACTGCTGCATTACTTTAGAGATGACCACAACAGTCCCATAAAGGCTGATTTCTTTCCATCCAGTTCAGAGATGTGAGAGGTGCATAGGAATAAGCTGCAGACATGGTATAAAAGCACTCCAAAGGAGGTTGATTTACACTAGAGGGAAGAAATCATCTTGTGCAATCCTAAATTAAAGTTTTGGTTTAACCACAATTTTGCCCTAGGGTTTTGGCTGTTCAGAAGAATGAGCTACATAATCTGTTAGTTCTTTGACACTCAAGAACTAGCAGTCCTTAGAAATCTTACTGTTTGAAGCAGTGATGCTAAGGAGACAGACACATTACTAACCTGGAACACCACTTACCCAGCATGCAAGAAGCATATTACTAGGCTTAAAGAACATAGAATTGGCTAACATAACTAACTGCAAATTAAAGGCAGCTGTCAGGAAAGCACTTAGGTTCACCCCCAGCTTCCAACACCGATGGCAGCTGTTCAGTGTATTTGAGGAGTAGTCAGATATTGTATGTGTTCATTGTTAGTGAGGTGGTCTGAATCAGACACTGAATCTTATCAAGGTCAGAAGAAATGACCAGCAAACAGCTTTACCTGTCTCCTGCCACTGCAGGTAGAGAACATAGGGACAGTGTGGTTGTGCAGCTGCTGTTGTTGCACTCTGGACCAACCTGAGAGGTTTCATGCTGGCTTTACATGATGTTTCCAACATACTCCACAAAAGCTGATGTCTGCAGGCATGTGTGGCACTGGAAACAGACAGAGGCAAGGACACAATTTCCCAGAGCTGCCTACAGACATTGCCCCTATTTTTGATCCATGAGACAGCTGGACCAATGCAATAGCCCCTTGAGTACGAGAAAAGCTGCTTACCACCATTAAAGTGGCGGAGGCCATATATTCAAAGGAACCCCCATAAAAAAGACAGGGTTAAACTAAAACTTAAGAGCTCTGCCTATGACCTTGTATGGCATGGTCTCAGGCACTGAGAAGACAAAGGAGAGCAAAAGCATCCAGGATCATCAGAGCATGATGGGGAATATGTCACTCCAGGCACCTTGCAGAGGCAGCGAGTGACCCCATGCCCAGTAATAGATTTCTTGTCAGTAGCTTGGTACCTCTGCCTTACTGCAAACCCATTTAAAGAGCGTATCTGGATCGGTGCCAGAGCATTCAACACCTCACCAAACTGTGCTGTCTCTGCATTAAAAATATCATTCAGCTTTTCTGTAGTTGCTGGAAATATCAATGGGAAATCCAGGACGCAGGCTAATGGGGAAGACATGGTTGTAGGACAGGCCTGTCAACAAGGCCTTTCTAGGAGAGCAGACCACAGTGGAGCTGCAGGTGTGGCATCTGCCCATGTGAAAACCAGGGTGCTGCAAGGCCATGGAGCTGGATGGCAGCAGCGGCTCCCTGATCCCAGCCCTGATGTGCTCACACTGCTGTGGGAGGAGAGGAACTGATGAGCTGCATTGATTTTCCACAGCCTTCCAAGACAAGACGGTTCTGGAGCTGTGGATTATGGTGTTGGTGCTATAGATAAATATTCGTTAATGATTAAAAATCTTCATTCAACTTCATTAAACCCACTGAACTCATGAGACTATAATGTAAAGAAGCAGCAAAAAAGCCATCTCTTTCAAAAGCTTTGTTTTTACCACCTTTTTTATACTCATGGTTTCAACTGTGAGCACTTTGAAGGAGTCAGTAAAATACAGACAGTTAATAGTCAGGGTGAATATAGATCAGTGCTCAGCTTCTCCAGTTATCTGTCGGGATTGCTCTGATCCCACAAATCCCCATGCTTTTGCTGCAGGGCAGCAGCCCTGTGGAGGAAAGGCAGAAGGATCTCTCTACCTTTTTTCATTTAGGACTACCACACAGATTCAACACGCTTGGTGAGTTCAATACACAATACTCCCACTGCCCTGTGCTGGGAACAGCAGTGGAGTGCACCTGCTTAGCTGTAGCTGCTAAGGGGAAGTGTCTCTGCCTCCCAGCCATACTGACAACCGCCTGTTTTCTTTTTCTGCCCAATTTGGAACTGACCATCCATGCTCTTGTGTAAACACTGAAATCTGGGTCAATCAACCTGATGTATGACAACAGAGCGTAACATCTGCCCAGAGCTGGAACTGATCTGTACAACTGTCTGCAGAGTATTTGTCTCTCTGCTTCCCACTCTGCCTCACCACCATTTCTCAGCCCTTTGGCCCTGGGTGCCCCACCATCTCCTTGCACAACACAGAGGACATCCACCCAGTCACCAACCATACATGGTTGAACGAGTAGGAAATCATGCATCTCAGTAAAATCTTAAAAAAAAAAAAGCCTTTGAGAAGGAGACAATGTCAAACCTTTGCCACAGTGACAGATGACTCAACCTGATTTTAGCAAAGAAAATCACTGTTTTTCCATCATACTTTATATGTAAAAATATACATTTTGAGTTACTGCGTATACAGAGACGAAAGAGGGAAAGAGCTTTATGAAAGGATACTAACCTAGTTGACAGTAGAAGCTATTTTAAAATTTACACAGATAAATGTACAAATAAAAGATGCAGACTTCTGGTCTTCTTCCTCTTCTCGGTATTTATTATCCTCTACCTAGAAAAATAATTTCCATTTTCCATTTTCCTGAATATCTGAGTTAATATATCCAGCTTTTTTATAATTCCACATACTTTATACACAATACAGAGACACTGTTTCCTGAGCTAATCTGTTTATCAGATAGCTTCTCTTCAAACAATTAGCTATGTTGGGATTTCTCCATAACAAATCAATAGCTTTGGCTCAGACAGATATAAGCTTTAGCATGTTGACATGCCTCTCAAAATAAATCACAAAAAATGGCAAGTGGCTGTTAAAGCAAGCTGCTCAAAAATAAATTACAGTTGTCATACCCTGTAGCCCTTTGATTCTGACTTAGCTTATCCTTTACCCTTTTAGTATATTTCCCCAAAATAGAATGAGACAGACAGGCTTCATTTACTTATCTTTGGTAAGTTGCAATTACTAAGAAACTCTAAGAAACTCCTTTGGAGTTGCTACTTATCAATTTGAGGAAGATTCGAAAAGTCCAGTCCAGCCCAGCCCCAAGGTAAGTAAGCTTAAAAAAAACACAAAAAACAAAAAAAAAACCCCCAAAATAAAAAACAAAACAAAAATCATATATAACAGAAAAAGCAAAAGCTAATAGACCAGAATGCTCGTTACAATACATGCTTCATGTAACCTATATTGCATAACCAGTTCAGATCAGTTTTACCAGACTTATAAACTTTGTGATACATGCAAGAAAGAAAGCTCTACATACAAGATAAGGGCCAAGGCTAGGTAAAATCTGCGTTTTCTGAATTTAGAGTATGTAAAGTCTTTTATATTTTCATTAGTTTGTCCAAATACTTCATTTCCTCTTTTAAGAAAAAACGTTAGGAAGCAAATTTAATAAGGCTGCAGAAACATGTGCCATAGAAAAAAATAATTAAAATATTTCCCTGATTTCACAATTATCTTTGAAGAGAAGTCACTCGCCCCTAAGATGAAGCAGGAACCTTGGTGATAGTGGCAGATTTGTTTACCACATGTGATGCCAAGCACACAGTGAGCAGTGAAGGCTAAGACAATTGGTTATAATCAATCCAGATATCACAGCTTTAACTAGTTACTGTTGATTTGTGTAAGTCTTCACACCTGGCAACTTTCATTTTTTGACTGAGGCAGCTGCAAAGGTAGCATATTAACTTTTACCTGTTTTCATTACATGAAACATTTATAAACAAATACATGCACATTTCACAAGTAATCTCGTGACTACGTGTTGAAGAAAATTATCACAATACCCCTCATTTAATATTTTCAACCAATTTTTTGCAAATACATTATCAGTTGGAGGCCACATTTACCCAGTGCTGCTAGGCGTTCTGGTGGCAAATTTAATTCTTTTGTGGCAAGCAGTCCAAGAAAAATCATTACTTTTTTCCCATAGTGATTTTATGTAAAGACTTTTTGAGCCTGGAATAGCAGAAAGGACATTTTTCTCCTTAGCCATAAGTTGCTTCTGTGCACACTTCAGAAGAGCTGAGTTATCAGCATGACTGGGTGTTGCATAGAGGTTTGCCTCTGCTGAGTCAGCTGTATGCACTGGAAGTGTCTCTAAACAAGCACAAGAAAGTGCTGTGTATGGACCAGACAGGGAAACCAAGGCTAAGCTTGCATTACAAACATTCACACTAATGACAAGCTGTTTGCTTTTCCTGAATCAGATATCACTGTTGCATGGCCCATACAGAAAGGAGACGTAGCTCAAGGACTGACAAAACATACCTCTTTTTAAAACATTTTATCTCTTTTTATTTGTTTGTCCTGATGGTTTGCTACAGGCAAAGGAGGTATTCAGAAATGGAACTGCACGATACAAACACAAGCAGCAAACTAAGCTGGTGGCATGAAAGGTGTATCTGAGAACACAGAGTTGACAGAGTCAGAGTCAGATTTTGTTCGAGTAGTTTTTAAGATACTCTCTGTAATGACACTGTCATTAGGAAACAGTTTTACTTTCCCATTCTGACTCTGTTTTGGTTCATGCACGGGTTCCAGGAAAACTACCCGTTTACCAGTGCTAGCCTTCTTCTCATCAGCTGGCAGCTCTTGTGGCAGTGCAGAATTCAGTATGGATGAGTGGGCACTGCTTTGGTTCAGCTTCCTCTTCTTCTTTTTTGCCTTACATTGACAGGGGCAGGGGGTCAGATAGAGATACAGCAGCACTAAAATAATACTGGCCACACAGGCAGCAAGAGTGGTAAAAGCTGTATTAAATGCTTCATGAGCATGGGATCTGTTCACTGTGAAATTGCTAACGTTTATTCTGACCTCTATGGTTTCATTTAATAGTCTTTTCTTATTTATTGCAATGCAGGAATACAGCCCTGAGTTCTCTAGCTGGGCATCCGTTATCTCCAGGCTGCCATTAGGAAACACCTTGAAGTTATCAGTCTCCCTGTCTGGCTCCAGCAATCTATTGTCTGGACTAACCCAAATGAACTGTGTGCCTATATCACTGATTCTGCTGTCACAGTGTACAATCAGCCTGTCACCAACCTGGCCATCATGAATAAACCCAAAGGCTTGGAAAGAGCTGTTGACGGTACTTTCAGAGCAATTCATAACATTGTCGTATAGTAAAGGCAGTTTATTATGACCTCTTGGGTCTGACTGCAACAAACAGCTGTACTCATTTTTGAAGTCCACCACTGAGCTGAAATGCCTTTGATACCAGAAGATTAGCATGGAGTACAGGACACAGTCACAATAGAATGGGTTGCCATGAAGATAAATTCCACTAAGTTGTTTGGCTGGCACTGAACTCAGGCGCTGAACAGGCATCGTCTGGATGTGATTAAAGGAAATGTCCAGCAACACAAGGTCTGTCAGTTTATGTTTTCCAACATATAAGTCCAGTGGGAAATGTGAGACCAAGTTGTAGCTTAGGTACAGTTTCTGTAATTTGTACAATCCTCCAAAGGCTAAAGACTCGATCTGGGTTATTTGATTGTTGTACAGCAGGAGAATCTCCAATGCCTTTAGCTCCTGAAACACAGGGCTGCCCAGTGTTTTCAGGCTGTTGGATGACAAGTCTAGATACTTCAGATTTGGAGTTGTGGAAAAGCTTCCAGTGTTAATGCTGCTAATGCTATTATGATTGACTATTAAAGTGTTCAGTTTCTCAGACAGCACTGGGACCCATTCAGGCTCCAAAATCCCAATTCTGTTATAACTCAGATCCAGCCTTTTCATACATTTATAAAGATTTCCTGGCACTCGAGTGAGGTTCTTATTTGTGCAGCTTACAATATCACTGGCACAGATGCAGGCTGCTGGACACATCCCTGGGGCACTGCCACAAACACTCACGGTGAAGACCAAGAGGCATGCGAGTCCTTTGCAGTTCACTTTAAAAACTCCAAGTCGAGTAGGAAGTGTCTGCCAGTTTAAAGACATTGTCACTGCCTTTTAGCTGTCTCCCAGTGCTCCTTGCCACAGATTACTTGTGCAGTTAGCTTTGCACTCGTTGCTGTCAAAAGAGGGATACAGAGGTACAGCATGTTAACGTTTACCATTCATACTCTTCCTGATTTCCTATGCCTTTTGAAAAATACAGGGAATTAATCCATAGGGTTTCATACAATTAATGGTAAAATCTAGTTCTAAGGTGATGTAAACTTAACATTGGTTTTATGTAAACATGAAATTCTGCACTCCTGTTTCAATATATATACTGTGGATACAATATCTTTTGTCTTCAAAAAGAATGCAACTATTCTTCAGTCTTGGACACAGTAATGCAATTTCTGACAGTTCATTTAAAAAAACTGGAAATGTTCCTCTGTGGAGAATGACTTGGAAACGGCATCCCCTACCTATTTCCAAACCAACAGAGATTCCCAGTAGAAGAAAGAAAGCCTCATCCTAAAATGCTTTCTTCTTGTCCAGAGGGAAGCAGTTACAACATGCTTTTCTTTACAATCAGAAAATGTCACATGTTTTCAAGCAAAGAATCTTCTCAGCCTTTCTAGTTTTAAATGTCATATGAATTTCTTTCTTTTTTTTCTTTTTAAATTCAGTAAGTTATGGTTCAGGGAGCAACAGCCTATTTTGAAAGTTATTAAAGTTGTTCAATAACAGTATTTTGTATACTACTTCTTCTACCTTTGCCAATATAAGTAATGAGGAAGAAATCCATACTTAGTGCTTACCTCAGGCAAATTTTGGGAACATTCAGTAAGGATGAGTCAGCTGTTTCTCAAAACTTAGTAAAGAAAAAAAATATTTTGTTCATATGTAGATAGAAAAACCCCAACAATACTCTTTTCTGAGGATATTTTAGAGTCAGTATTGTTTGAAACAGGGGTGTAAGATTCGGCACAGTAGTAATTCTGTGCTAAGGGATATGCTTTTAACCATCTTCTGAGAAAATGTATACATGTATAGCAGAGGAATAAACATTTCTGTTCATTCTTGCTCTCCCTGGTACCTGTTTAGAGTTTGTCAGTAAATTCACAGGTGAGTTTATCTACATTGATTATAGCCACCCCTTCAGAGTTCAGATGTGGTATTCAGCCCCCCCATTATTACCCTCAAACTCATTTCTCCAATCTCACCCACCTGTTGGAGCAGTATCTGAGCAGGACAAACCCTGCAATGTCTGCTCTGAGCTGCTGGTAGTGGCAATGGCCAGGAACCTGTGGACAGTGGGATGAGAAAGAAGCAGCCTCAGATGGAAAGGAGGAGAATAAAAGAAGTTTTATTCTCTGATGATGCAAGATGGATGAAGAAAAGATGAGCTTTGAGGGCAAAAAAATTAAAATCAAGACCTAAGTGGTGGAGGGCAGCAGGACAGAGGGATAGTGAAAGAAGGGGAAGAGAGAGAAGGGTAAGAGACATAGGGAAGGAAGTGCAAAATCAGGGGAGATGGGTGCTAATGGAGGATCATCACTGTTACTAAAGAAACTGAGGAAGACATAGTCTGAGGATGCAGAAGTCAGTTAAAGCATATGAGACTGGAAAAGCAGATGAGGAGGGTGTAAAGGGAAAGAAGAGAACTAAGCAGAAGACAAACGAGTTTCAGGAGGTAAACCTTAGAGCACACCTCTCCAGAGAATTTACATCTGCTACTGAAGAACCCAAGATTACTGATGCAATTAATGTATGTAAAAAGCAAAAAATTTCACTCCTCCTTCGTTCTTTATTTCCCTCTTCTGTAACCCTCTACCAATCTGACAGGCTGCTGTCTTCTGCTGACTAATCTACTCTTAAATGGTAGAAGTGGTAGAAGATGTGCTATTAAACTAAAGAGCTGAACCTTATGAAGACCTATTAAAAAAAATATGAAGACAACACAGGAGAATGGGACATTTCACCTTTCACAAGAACTTATATATACATTGGCTTTGTTTGCATAAAAAAAAAAAGAAAAAAGCATTAAGAGAATTGCAAGACTGCCAAGTCAAATGCTCAAAAGTTAAGAGTTGAATTTTTCTTTCCATTTTAGATTTTATATACAGTCCCTGGTTACATGATTGCTCAATTTTCCCTCCAAAACCTTTCATAACACTGTGCACAGGTTCTAAAGAAGAACAGGGAAAAGAATGGGTGATTACATCAAGAGCTTGATAAATCCTTATCCCTGAGAACTGCAGCTGTCCTAGCCGTTGCCACAAAATTCCTGTGAGAATTGTGAACTGGTGACTACTACAAAATAATGAACATATTATAGTCACCAGTTTGGCACTTTTAAATAAGGAATCTCTGCATGTTAAATTTGGGAAGGGCTGACCTGAGGAAGTGCTGACATGAAAGTCAAAATGCTGTGGCTCTAATCTGGCACTTCTGACTGCACAGGGATCTCTTGTTTATACAAGGGATACACTATTTTAGCTATAGAAATACTGTAAAAATAAATTGATTGGTTTGAATAAAAGTTCAATATCAGTATTTGTAAATTCTTCTAGGCTTTTAAAGTCTCCTGAAGTCTCTAACTGCATGGGGTTTTCAATGGAAAGCTAGGAATCCAGAGAAGTATTTTTAACCAGTCCTAAGCTCCTTACTTAGTTGTTTTTGCTAGTTAGGAAGTCAAGAGCAACAACTAATAGATATAAGTTCTTCTAGAGGGTGAAACCTATGAAGCATTAGAGAAACTGCCATCAAAAATAATTCTGTATCACAGTGTGAATTCGTATGACATAAAAAAATAAGGCACAATGAAAACACACTGGCAGATGAAAAAAGGTATTTAGTAATTGCTCATTTAGTTAGTCTACTGTATGCAGCAAGGCATCTGAAAACTACATTACCATAAAACCACGTGAAGACTGGATTATAAAGGAGCCACAAAATAGGAGATGAACAGTTGCTGCAAAGGTTGCCTTTCCCACTAATATGTGAATGCGTGACTCTGCAATCTCTGCAGCCTAATTTGTAATGTAACTGCACTTGCAACAAGTGAATGGCACTTAAAAAAATGATCTTCCATGTTGAATATAACTGTGATCCTGGAGGTAGTCCAAATGGGACATACTAGATCAATGCTTAGGTTTGTAAGGATTACCGAATTTAATGCACTAAATAATCTTGCACGTTTGCTTCTGTCTATGCCTACAATTATCTCATCAGAAACTCCAAGCTAGTCTGCAACCAAATCCCATGGGCAGACACACATCAGTCACTGGTGTATATCATTGTAATATCTTTTAGTTCTAAGAAGCAAAAACAGTTTGCAAGGGTTGAAAACTGGATTGTCCATTTTCAAAGCTCAGTGGAGCTGCAAAATGAAAACTGCTTCAGATTACTTGCCTGGTCTGGCAGGGAAAATCCAAATCACAAACCTCCTAAACATATCACAGGACATACAAGAGTATTTAGAGAATACTCCGATGAGCAGAAGCCTTCCTTTCCATGCCCAACTCATAGGGTAGTGCCTACATTCCCAACAAGTTTTTTGCTCTTTTGGAGAGTAGGACTGTTGAGTTGCAACTTGCTCTTCAACCTGTGTTCCCCATATCTTCTGCGCAAATTACCCTGGATGTTCTGCAAAGCCAAGCATGTTCAACAGAAATATTTACACGGTATGTGATCATTTGAACTTAAAACGTCTGCATAAATATTTCTGGGTTGTCATGTGTTAAGTGGCAAGAAGAATAAAGTCTACAATTAGCTACATTAAAAACCCTGGCGTTTTGTTTCATCCCAGTAACACTACTTCAGGTCTTAGAGAAGTCTTATTTTACAAATTTCAATATTGCATATTTTCTCAAGAGAGATATTGCCATTGAATACTATCAGCTAACATGTGCCAACAGACTTTGGCTGAATACTTCACCATTATTTCTGAATGAGCTGGGTAGATACATTTTCTGATTTATAGTAAAGTGAAGGACATGGTTGGGAGTTTTGTTCTTGAATTCTGTTCAAATAAATAATTTCTTTGTGATGTTAAAGTGCAATATTTTAAGTCCAGTGCCAAAAACACATTGCTCCCTGAGACGATTCATCTGAACCGTAATGGTGCACGTGCTTCTAAACTGTTCAAGAAGAAAGGTGGGACATACCCTTCTATCATAGGGAAAATCCTCTGTGGTCAGAAACAGCAAAATTGAGTACAAGCAATCACATTCTAGAGAAGCTAAGGATTTAGTTCTTGGTTTTGAACTTTTTAATGTGTAGGTTTGTTGTTGTTTCTCGTTTATTTCTGAGGTGGTTGAGTGTTTGTTGTTTTGTTTTTAAAAGTAACAAGCACCTAGACCTGCTTATGGAAAAGGGGACTGCCAGGCAACATACAGTCTCACCATCAGTTATCACTTGAAGATCAACTAATGTCCTAAACCCTCCTTTCTCCTTTCTCTGGGCTCTCTCTCCCACTAATGTAACATTAACAATATCTACACCAGTTTTCTCATCCTTTGTAAGCACCTTCAGGCTTATTGCTGTTTTTCCAATGGAGCATGTACACCAAACTTCCTCTCCTAGTTAATTTGAGACTTTGCTAAAAAACACTTATGTAGTACATCTCTTAATTTAAGCAGTAAATTGAACTGGAGATCACAATTCACCTGAAATTTTTCAAACCCTACTGTTGTCTTTTCACTGTTAAAAAAATCAGTTTGGTAGATGCTATTCCTACTGTAAAGCTTTTTCCTGAGTACTGGTGATGCAAAGAGTCCTACAGCTGGCTGGTACTTTCTGCACTGTGAAAATGCATATATCTGCACACAACCCTGCTGCCTGTGGTACTACTGCACGAATAGTGTTGAGCCCCTAAAGAGATCAAGCACTCAAAAACATTAAAGACCTCTGTTCATTCTCCAGAACGTTCACACCATTTCTGCATCCCCTACTTCCTTTCTTTGCACCACATCTCCTATGTCTGCCTTCTCAAGTCTCCCCTCAATCTCACCAGCCCATAAGACATTAATACATCTCTGCACCTCTCACTGACTTCCAACGTCCACACAGGTGCTCTCCCCCTATACTAGTCTACATATCAGATGAATTAGGGCTATACTAGTCAAATACAACAATACGTGAAATATAAAAATGATGGCTCAGGTGTTTGTGTTCTCACAGCCCTATTTTCTTCTGGCATGACATTTGACAAAGGTTCCTCATGAACTCAGAAGCAAAAGTGATTTTTAGAATGGTGTTTTATTAAATTATAACAACAGTATTATATAATTATTCATGCTTTTAGTCCCAACTTTATGAATCCAGTTCAAATACATGATACAGCCATTAATTACATATAGACTAATGGCATCCTATGCAATTAGTATTTTTAAAAGTTACATTTTTAAGGAAGGTCTGCATAAACTCACATTCCTTGTGTGTGTGTGATACTGTCAGAGCAAATATTCATACAACAGCCACCTTGCCTCAGCCTCCAGGCTCTACTCTGCCTTTAACGCTCCTGAGTGGAAAAGGCACTCTGCATCAAATCTTCCTGACAGCTGTGCTCAGCATCTTTGATTCAACAGATACAGATTACCCAGACATAATCCGTCAGATTTAGTGACATGATAGATTGACCAGCAAAGACTATTGTTGAGCTACATCTGGGGGATGTCTTGATACACTGGACTAAACCCCTGAAGTGGGCTAAACTGTGCTTGGTGCAGGACCTAACAGTGATGAAAAAATGGCTTTACATCATATTTGCAGCAAGCTGATCCTGAGATCAGCAAGGCAAATGGAGTGTTCTCTCCAGCCAGCATCTGGCCAGACCTCAATCGTGCTGAATTAGAGATTAATTTGTCCTAGTAACCTTAGCCAGATAAAACTATCGTCTCCCACTAATCTCTCACTAAAGACTGAATTTCCTTGAACAGAGATTTTTTTCTTAAAACACGTTAACTCGCTTGTCTTAAAGAAAACCGAGACACAGAAGAGAAACTGGGTGACGTACAAGAGCCTCAGTTGGACTAATCAACAGTCTCTTTACAGCAGTACCAGCTACGTGAAGTCAACATCTCTGCAGCTCTTTTCCCTCTGAGGCAGTACAAGGGAAATATGGATCAGTGAAACAACAAATTCACCCCTTTTGCTATGTTACTTTGTATATCAAGCTCCAACCTTGCATATTACTTCAGTTGCTAAGGAGATCAGCAAATAATTAAGAAAAAATGTCATGATAAGTGGCAGTGCCTATTACCGTATCAGTAACCAGTTTCCAAGCAATGTCAGATCTTACTAAAGTTTAGTTGCCCAGCGAAACAGCCTCACCGCCTCTAAAAATTTATCTGAGGGCTAAATTTCATAGAAACCCCCTTGCATACGATTTGGGGGGGGGTCTCCTACCAGTCTCACGTCGGGGACTGCCGCTGCAGCCCCAGATTCCAACCAGGAGTCGGCGGAGGGCAAAGTTTCGGCGAGCCCGGCGAACGAGCAGGCTGAACCGGCATCGAACCGGGGGCATCCGCACGCAATCCGAGGGGTTTCTGAGGGACTTCCTCGGGCAGGCGCGGCCACTGCCGCCGCTCCGTGGCGGAGGCAGGGACCGGCTCTCCCCCGCTCGCTGCCGGGCTGCGCTCGCCTCCGGCGGCCCCTCTCATCCCCGATTCCTGCCCCTCCGGACCCTGCCCCCGTCACACCCCGGCTACCGAGGGGATGTCTGCTCCGCCGCCCCGCCGGGCAGCGTTACCTGGAGCTTCTGATGGTCGCTTCATGTCCGGGGAGCGCGATGCCGGCCCCGCCGCCGCCTCCAGCCCCTGCCCCGCATGCTGCGCTCCGCTC